ATTAATTGCGAAGGTTTAAATATTGGAATGTTTGTTACTGGGTGTCAACAGAACTGCTGCATAGATCTCTACGAAAATTGGTATAGATGTAGAACAGAGTCTGGAAGAAGACGTGAGCTACTTAATATCCGAGAAATATGTATGGTTCTCCTGACATATGTTTATTTTTACCTTAATGTAATAATTTATAAACTCACCTTTCTTCGCTTCATCTTTCAAGAAATCAAGGCCATCTTTAATCTGTACTTCGAGTCTGTTATCAACTTCGAGTTGAAAGTGTTTCTGAGCGAGGTCGAGCATGGCGGGGTCGATGTCTACAGCGGTCACCTTCAGCTCCTCGAAGCACTTCTTGAGGAACATGCAGAGACTGCCCCCGCCCAGACCCAGCACCGCCACACGCGCTGCGGGGATCAGCTGCGCGCCCACACACATCAACGAGTGATACGTCGATATCTCACCGAAGTCAATCACTGTACGGACTTTGTTCTTCTTTTTTACTGAAATTTTATTATTACTTTTTTCACCTTTTATTTAAATTATTTTTTTTCAATTTGGATTCTACATACACAGTATTTAAATCTTTTCGAAAATACATTCTTAGCATAAAATTCACCAACTCGGAGTAAAAATCTAAAGTAAAGAAAACTGTAGATTAAATCGCAAAACATTTATAGCAATAGCTCTGCAGTACGAAGACATACCGGATTTAAGTTTAGCCTCAGACTGCACCAGGAACTGGTTGTCAAGGAAGACGAGGCGGCGGTAGGTGAGGCCCTGCACGTCCACGTCCTCCACCACGTAGTCACCCGACACCTTGGAGCTGCCCTCCTCCACCTTCACGCGTCGCCCCACGTCACTGCCCACTGACAGGAACGGGATCTGAACACAAACCCACACTTATTTATGTAAATCTATAGTTCAAAGCTGGAAATAATCCTCCTATTTAGTCACTGTTCTAGCACTTTACCTTCCATCATTATATTAACGCCATTATGTTTCCAGAAAATATTGTTCTTTTCGAGAACACATGACACCTAAGCCCCTATACCTATTTTTCTTGGGAATGTCATAGAAATTCATTAGACTTCTATCGCTCACCTGACCCGAGAACCCATTTGGTGCGAGCATCTTAGCGGAATGAGCCAGCTCCTCTTTGACAGCGTCGAGGCTTTGGTAGACCTGCCCGCGCCGCAGCAGCACTACCGCCAGCCGGGAGAACTTGGCCGACTGCTGCAGCTGACGTCTGCCTGCCGCTGTACCGAACAACCACTCCGACTCCCTGGAGTTTCATAATATATATTATATTATAAGTACTATTAACATTATGCGTTTTCGTTCTCCATATTACTCTATATTTTGTTATTTCTGCCATCACTTCTTTCTTATTTCACATTTTTAGGGTTCCGTACCTTGAAAGGAAAAAAACGAAATCCTTATAGGATCACCTTGTTGTCCGTCCGTCTGCCTGTCAAGACCATTTATCTCAGGAACGCGTGAAGGTATGAAGCTGGAATTTTTTTTTTCATAGAAGGGGGCAAACGAGCAACGAATCGCTTTAAATTATTTGATCCGACACCCATGGACAACCGCAACACCAGAGAAACCGCAGATACGTATCCGGCTTTTGGGCGTGTACGCTCTTTTCAAGCTATCCCTCCATCTCTTCCTACACCTATTCTTAATTATGAATAAAATTCTAGAAATAATAAAGCAAGCATGAAGTTTATTTACTTATTTCAAATAAACCGTATTCCACTGACTATACTGGCAAGAACTAGGAAAGGTGTAAAAATTTTAGGTCAATGTTTTGAGGAGTCGTTCTACATTTGTCGTCATATAGAGGGACAACTATGCGTCGTATATAGAAAATTAAACCAAAAAGCAGGTCACATGATTGTTTATATCTGAACATTGGTTTTAATAAGCAAAATAGTTGGGCGGATGTCCAGTGCGTATATTTTTAACCGTGTAAATCATATCACTATGCTCCTCGTGGGCGTGGCATTGCGACACCTCTCGCTCAGCACGTCAACACTATACACAACTCTTATACACATAGGCAGAAAATAAACAGTTTGCCAGTTTAGATAAATAAAATAATTAAGATTTTTTTCGAGTTTAACATATTTTAATTTATCCTTGAAAGTAATCTTTTAAATAGGTATATTGTGACAATGCTATAAATTTTATGGAAACCTAAGCTATTTGCCGCTGTTTTTAACAAAACATTTTCATCTAATCACTTAACTAATCTATAATTCTATCTTACTAATATTGTAAACGCGAATATTTGGATGTATGGATGTTTTTTACAACGTATCTCCAGAACGGCTCATCAGATCTCGCTGAAATTTGACAAAGATGTAAAACATAGGTGGAAGAACATATAGACTACTCATTTTTTTTAATTCCATCGGTGTAGTCGCGGACAACAGCTATGATTAAATAAAATGGGTGTGTCTGTTTCTTATCCATCAACCAAATATAAATATTCAACCTTGAAGTTAATGTCTGCTATTTACATCTCTGTTTACAAAACGAATGCGTGTTTTTCTGTGTTTCCTTTGAAAAATATTTACTTAAACAAAACTATATTTATTCATACAAAAGACGTGGGCGGATGTTGAAAGTGTAATGCACTAGTGGAGATTTCTCGCAACATGTTGTGCAACAAATTAAACACGACGCGAATATACAGCACATCACGCTTGTCAGTTTATGGAGTATGCAGAGATGTTAATAAAATAATATGTAACATAGCGAACTCGCCTGGGGAGTCAGTCGCGTTTTTAGTTTACACGGTCTCGGTTTATTCCAATTCTTTAGCATTTGTACATACAAGTTTTATATTTGAATTTAAATGTCTATTTAAGGGAATTGATATGCTTTAAAAATCGAGTAACGTAAAGTGGTTTTATACGTCAAATACGTTACATATTTCCTGAACTAAAAGTAATTAGATAAAACCCACTGTCAATTTTCACTATACTAAATTAATTGAAACGATGGACGTTAAATTTGAGATTTTGCGACAAATATTTAATAATCGCAGAACGCAGAAATTTATTCAAATAAACGCAGAAAATATAACTTGTCTACGTCTCAATTTTAAGATCGTTTTTTAAATCCACTTTTATTTATTCATATTTATCAAAAAATATAGGTACTTACTGAGAACTTTTTAACACTTTAATAATGTTAAACTTTCAGATTAATCTTTAAACTATTACGAGATAATTATTCGCACACTTGAAGTGTTGCACTGCGTAGCAAAAGCAAGTGCGGAGTGAGATTGTGCGGCAACGCAATATGCTTTTGTTGTTGTTCGCGGGTGGGTTGAGAGGTATCTCGCTAAGAATATGATATACAATAATGTGGATACGGCATATACATATTATACTGTAAATAATTGCTTTATAGAAGTTATTTCTAACTTAATAAAAGGTATGTTAGGAAGAAAATCACTGTGCCGGAGTACTAGCAACACTAGCCTTACTAAAATGTCGATGTTTATGTCCCCTCACTAATCATTCCGACACTTGACTTTGTAACGAAAGCGCGTCATTCGCGCCCTATGATTCTAACTTATACTGTCTAAAAGTAAAGAAACTCTGACTTTCTTACTTATATTTTTCTAAAGCCAATATGAAACACTGTCGTCTGGCGCATTCAGCAACGATTAATTTTTACTTAAACAATTTCTTAATGTTATTCATATAAAGGGGGTATCCATTACCGTTCGTCAAATATCTTTTTATAGCACATATTGTTGTATTCAAAATTAAAATAAAAAATGATGACAAGCTGAGAAAGTTTTTACGATATTTCTCATTAGAAGTATTTCTTAGCTTCATGTAGCGGGCATTACGCCAGCCGCCTCCAAAGAACACGGTGTAAATATTATAGCGATCCTTCTGGATGTACCGCGATGTAAATACACCGATTTAAACATTTATTTTAAGACAGGTAAACAATAAATAAGCTATCGTATATCTACATATAAGTTTCCACACATAAGCCGCTTCCAGATTCCAGAGATCTGAGTTCATAACAAAATGAATGAGAAAAAAAATCGCGATCCCAACCCGATAACGTCAATCTCTATTTTTTTTCTTCACAGATATAAAACCTTAGTGACCAGACTTAACATATAATCAATGTTTTACATATTAAAATCATAATTCGTTATTTCTTGAAATACAAGCTTCTTACCTGCCTTGTGGCACAATGAAGACGGCATACTTGTTGGCAGCCTGCATACGCTTCTGATCCACCACATACAGGGTGTACCGAGGTGTCTCCTCACCCGGTTGCGTCAGGTCAAGTGATACCTGAAGATGAATATCGTTACAATCGAAACAAGATAAGCAAGACACCTCTATAAGCGAGAGTTATTTCAGGTCCCAATGATGTCCATTAGCGAAAAACTCTGGTTACGCAGAAACCTCTATATGTGTGAAAAGGTCTTTAAAACTCTTGCTTATCCACATTTGAGTTCAATTTCATACCAAAACATTGCAGTAAAATGAAATGTGTTAAATAATTTAATGGAGTATTATGTTTTTTTTAGTATTCTTAAGAAAAAAATTCAGCCGCCAAGATATTTGATAAATCATCATCAGCTCACTATATGTCCCCACCGAGGGGCTCGGACCCTACCCTAAGTTTAGGGTGACTAGGCAATAGTCAACCACGCTGGCCAAGTGCGGGTTGGTTGACTTCACACATATCTTTGAATTGCTTCTCAGGTATATGCAGGTTGCATCACGATGTTTTCCTTCACCGTAAGAACGTCGGATAAATGTACATATGTAAATCGGAAATGGAAAAACACATTGGTACATGGCGGGATTCGAACCCAGGACCTGCAGATTGCAAGTCAAGTGCTTGACCACTGAGCCACCGACGCTTGATAGATACTATACATAAAACATTATGATAGAATTAAATGGATTATAACAATTTTCAAAATCCAACTTTACCTCATCATCTTCATCCAGATTAGTCTTAGCAAGTCCATTAGTAACAAATGCCGTGTCCTGCACAGATTTTACAGAATCCAGCAACTCTTGTGGAGTATCCAGTCTGATCATTTTCTCTCCAGCCATACACACTTCTATTATCTGTAACAGATTTATATAGATAACAAATCTAGTTTCAAATAATTTTTTTTCAAAGCTAAACGGAAAGAATAATAAAGAGATTTTTTTCAATACGAAGCAGTTATTTTGTAATTCCCAGTAAACAAAATATAGTGTTACCTGTTACCAATACTAATCATATTTAAGAAATAAAAAAAAAGGAAATTAATACTGTTTCAATGCGATGATTGCTAGGAAATATGTTTCCAATCATTAAAAGAAAAAGGGAGATAAAATGCTCCTCACCAATTTAGGTAATTCCTTGAACTTTGTAGCTACAACAACAAACACGGGTAATGTATTACCATCTCCATTCTCACTATTCTTTTGTTCTGCCTCGTGACATCTTACAATACGGAACATCCATGAATTGTCACAGAATTCCTTAACTAACTTATTTAAAATATGTGTTTGAAGCAAGGATATACATAAAAAGCGACCGCCAAGCTTCAGCACTCTTTATATTTCAGCAAAATACTTGTCTATCCTTTCATTTGTTTCTTTTGAATCATCTGGCATTAGTGCATCTAGGGTGCCTTTGTCCAATACAACATTAAAAACATCATTTTCAAAGGACATATTTAATGCATCCATATTTAGGAACTTCATACTGCTTCGTGCTGCATTTATACCAGTCATTTGTCTTATAACAACCTCAGATACGTCGATATTCGTTATATTTGTATAACCAACGTCATAAAGATCGGCGCTGAGGCTTGAATTACCACAACCTGTGATAAGTATCGCATCTTTTGGCTTTATATATTTGTGAAGATGACCACAAAGTTCTAAATATTCGCCGTACCTGAGAATAATTACAACAATTATATTATAAGAAATATAGATAAATAATAGACATGTTTGAGAATTAACTTACCATTCAAATGCTTTATTGCCGCGTTTCTTGAAAAATGTATTCCAATAATCTTTGTCGCTGAACTCCTTGTGGCTCTTAGGAAGAAGATTCATGTTAGATGAATATTTTTTCAACAATATTACCAATTATTTACAAACACATGGTTTTGAAGTACCACCGATAAAATAAGACATCTGTCAAAATCAGCGCAAAAATAACTGAGTTGATCCGGTTCGATCAATAAGATTTGAGCAGATATTTTTTTTAAATTCCTTCCAAAAAGTAAATGCAATAAAATTCTGAATAAAAAAGCAAGCCTGTTGTCCAAATCTTTGAACGATTATAAAAATCTTAATAAACCTAAATGTTATTAAATTAGACTTTCTTATACTTTTTTACTTTTTACTGCGGGGCACCCAAGGGTACGTCACTTGCACCATTTTTCGTTTCATTTCATTATCTGTCATTGTTTCGTAGTTACAAAATATTTCGTGTGAGTGTGGTATTTGTTTATTTGTGTTTTTGGTATTTCCATTGTGTGAAAATATGTATTTCTTCCAAAATAGTGGCGAGACCCTAGTGGTTTTCGCGTGATCATGTTAATAAGAGATTTTACTGAGTTGAAATCGTGGATTCAACATCTTAGCCACTAATTGACAATTCCAAATTTACCGTAATGGAAACTCATAAACATGACCAATGGGAGGCTCTGGCGACTGTTAAATCGTTTGACTTAGGTAAGTTATTAAGTTATTAATGTAAGTAAATGGATAAAATAAAATTTCAGCCTTAACCTTCTCAAGAAAGAAATTACGCAATGTGTATGATTTGTGCAACGAATGTGTGACTAATGTGAACCATGTTAGTAATAAAACAAACAATTTATTAAGTAACAGTCTTATCAGCAAAGTATAACTTTAGTTAATACCACACACTCACGAAACTGTTAACATTACAACAGTCAAAAAATGTAACGAAATTTTATCAATAAATAACCACAAGGACAATCATCATTATCAGCTTTTGTGTTAATTATTCCACCACATTTTTCATTCCGAAATTTCACTGAGTAATATAAGCATGAAAAATTAAATTCCATAGTATTGTAAAGTAGTTTAATAAAAAAGCTGTCAGTAGATCTATTTACTAATATAGAGTATATTTACTAATCTAATTTATCCCCTAGTTTTGGATGATACATTAACTTCATTTTCTCATTAATATTTGTCAATTTCCAGGAATAGAGCACAATAGTCGCAGAGAGTCTCTCTTTAGTCAAAGCATGCAACAAGTTGACATTGTCAATACAACAGCAACTACACCAATCAGTCTCCTGGTACAATCCCTTGTTAAACAGCTGTGTTCCCTACTCGAGAAAGATTACAATAGAGCCAACCAACTTTACAACACAATATGCGAAAAACTTCATAGTATGAATTTAATAGACAACTCATATGCAATGGGTGAGTTTGAAGTCATGAGGAGTCAGTATCAAAGAGCCCTTTACCAGTTAGTCACAGTCACCAATGGGTCTGAAATACCTATCAATCTTCCCATCACCTGGCCTATAGTTCAACCATCTGGTCTAGAATGGTCAAGATACCATAAAGAGTTTGAAGAGTTATGTTTCATTGCCGGAGGGGGCTTTGGTAGTGTATTCAAAGCTCGGCATAGGCTGGATGGTGTCAAGTATGCTGTAAAAAAGGTTTACATAAAGTCATCCAATGTAAACTCCATTATGACTCATTTGGCGGAGGTAAAAACTATTGCAAGCCTCAACCATCCGAATATTGTCAATTATAAAGCTGCTTGGCTGGAACCAATGATTGAATCAACAATAAAGAAGAAACGTAAACTGGATATGGATGATAGCGATGAGTTTTCCTCAATGAATTCTGACATTATATCCTCTGCACATCCAAATATAATCAAGTCATTTAAAACACACGATTCCAAGGAGCTTACGAGAAACAATAGTCAATCCGATTTTGTGATATCTTTCAAAAACTCTAGCAGCTTTGAGCAAGGCGAGAGTTCCGGAGAGGAATCAGAATGCGAAAGTGAGGATGACTCTGCTACACCAGATGACCAGAATGCTTTGTGTAAGATTTTATCTGATAAGGATTACGAAAACTGCTCCAGAATCAACCTCAAATGGGCTACACTTTACATTCAAATGACCTACTGTCACCAAACATTGAAACAATGGTTGGATAATAGAAACAGTCGGGTACCGTTGTCCAGAAAAAATTCTGATGATTTGACGCTTCAGCATAGTGACTCCAGTGATTCTTCTGGTTTTGATACATCATTTGTCTCCGAATGCAACTACCCAGTTTCTTGGACACATATTGATGTCATTATGGACATGTTTACGCAACTTGTACGTGGTCTGCATTATATTCACTCCAGAGGTATTATTCACCATGACATAAAGCCTAGCAATGTGTTTGTGGAACGCAGTGAAAATGGTTTGCTAGTGCAATTGGGTGATTTTGGCTTGGCATGTCCACTGCAACAGTCACATAGTGGTTTGGCTCTCGGTACACATTTGTATGCTGCACCTGAACAATTAGACGGACAATGCAACCCAAAGGTAAGTTTTTCTTTTTACTTATGTATCTTTTTTATAAAGACAAGTACATATATTGGATATGAAGAAAAAATACAAAGTTCTGAAAGATCTTTTGGATTTTTTCTAAACAAATAGTGATTATTCCATTATTACAAATGACAAATGTGTTAGTGTATACCAAAATTTGCTTCTCGATTTGTCATTGATTGGAAACTTATTACATAGTAATTTTAAAGTTACTTGTTTTAAGGTTTTGTCTATAATTTTATTGTTTTCTTTTCCAGAGTGACATGTACAGCCTGGGCATAATACTTTTAGAGATGGTTGAGCAGTTTAGCACAGAAATGGAACGAGTCAAAACTATCACAGACTTACGGAAAGGGCAAATACCTGCTCGCTTGACAGCTAACTATCCCAAAATAGCCCATATCATTGGTAAACTTGTGCAGTGGAGGCCAGCCAAGAGGCTAGATACGAAACAACTACTGGAAGAGTTGAAATACCTCTCAGAAGACAAAGATGAGACCATAAAGACCCTGAAGGAGGAATTGGCGGCAAAGGATGATGAGATTGCTAAATTGAAAATGATGTTAGCCAAGTTTAATCCTTGAGTTGGCATTTTCTCAGTATTGATGAAATAACACATATCTAAATGAAACCTGCTAACTACATACTTTCAACAGATCTTTGGTCTATGGTGGATATTTTCAACTCTATATTTACATTTCTGTTACCAACCTCAAACCTCTTAAAACATGATTTCTCAAAACTTAAATTCTGACAGAAAACTTGTATCTGTTTTATTATTGTATTATAACTAAGATTAACAATAAGCCTACAATTTCGGACAGTTCATCGCTCGTAGTTAGGACAGTTAATTTATGCATTTTATTTAAAAATTGTAAGTGATATGAATTTGTCACAAATTTGTTGATGAGTACTTAAGTAGTCATTTTGTGCGTGTGTGTGTAAAAGACAAATAAATAATAACGTAATTTGGGTTGGTTTTATTCAAACAAAATATTTAGTATGTCAATAATTTTATTTACAAATTAAAAAACGCAGTATAAATTATTATCTTAGCCTAATTTTATATTTACAGTCTTAAAATAATTTTCGTAGACAAAACGTAAGTGGCTGTACAAAGTCAGTCAGCGAAGCCGCTAAATTAAAAAGTTAATTCCAAGATGTCGGCGTCCGAGCTTCACTGAAGCTAAATTGGAGGGTAACTGTGACAGGTGCTGTGTTCACAATATGTTGTCGATTGCATGGATCACTCCGTTGGTGGCCGGTATGTTATGTGTGATCACTTGAGCGTTGTTCACTTTGATACGACCTGGAAATTAATATTGATTGTGTTATTATTTTCAAAAGGAACAAAACATTCGATACGTTGCCAATAACTATGTCGTAGGTATAAATGCTACGTTTATGCAGCAATCACAGAAGAAAATTATTGTGTGATCTGAAGTTGGTCTTATTCGTTTCGGGTTCTTCGAATCTTTTAAAATATTAAGAAGACCAGTGTGAAGATGTTTATAACTTCTTCATTCCATTTAGAGGGTTAAACATGTATTTTATGTCTTCTCTCAACATTGTGTTAACCATTAACATACCTGAGTTCTTCTGCAACGTGAGGGGCTTTGCGTCTTCCATGGAGTTGCGCAGCTGGTAATACCGCATGCCGGCGCTGTACAGTGTGCCAGGCAGCACGTGTCGCGCGACCAGTGCTCGCGCCGCGCCCTTCTCCGCAAACCGAGATAGCTCGCTGGGTGTCAAACGACCGAACGCTGTGTCCGTTGGCGCGAACACGGTGTACGTTTTACTTTCTGTAAGCAGTTTATAAGTTAATCAAGGGATATTTGCCTATGCGATTACAATCGAAATTTTAACAGACTTCACAAATGAGGAGATTATCAAGCACAAAACATCGTGTTCTCTTTTATACACGGTCTTGAAAAAACCTTAAAACTGACCTGAAAGCGTATCCGCAAAGCCGCTGGCCTGCACCGCCTTGAGGAAGATGGTGAAGCGGCGGTCTCTGTCTGCCTGCAGCGTCTGCACCAGGTCGCCCACAGGCAGCGGGAACATCACCCGGTCTACGGCGTGTGCTATACCCTGGAATTAGTACAACAATACATATATGCAATTCACATAATTGTTATGTAATGGCTTGACTATAGGCCGCACTCAGAATGACTAAGGAAGACCACTCAAGGACTAATTGCATGTTATAAAGATGTGTTTACCTGTGGTATATTAATGTCTTTCTTATCATCAAGTACTCTAGCGCCGTTGATAGTAGTGACGCGGACTTCGTTCCATTCTACATCGTGCATGTCGTACTGGTTGACCCGTAGCTGCGTGCCTGCGAGGGAGACGCCTGTCATCTCATCTTGTAACGACGCGATGTCAAAAGCACCAGGGATGACATGATGTAGAAGAAGCTGGAACAGGTAAAAATATAAAATATGTGAAAACTGCCTACTACTATGCATAATAATATGAAAAGTATTTAATTTCAGTACTGACCCCACTCAACAATCTCGGGTTATCCCTGAATTTCTCTTCAGCGCGATCCGGGCCACCAAGTTGTACTAGTAATGTCCTAAATGCTTTGTCTGTCGGAGCGAAGATAGTGTAGGGTC